CACCATCGACTATTGGCGTAGTGTATGGTCTAGCAGGGGGCAATCCGTGACGTCGATCTAACCTGGTGTGATGCAGGAGCCGACGACTTGCCATCATTGTCTATCCTCGCGATGATCATGAGTAGACCTTATGGCAGGTAGCTAGGTAGCTGAAGAACACTTGACACCTGAACGAGAGCGCTTTATAATATAATTTGCTTTTATTGAAATTGATCGATTTTTGGATAGATGTAGATGCACAAGCCATAGCAAGCTTTCCGTCACATCCTGCTGCTCCCCGCCTTTTCCACTGATTCTCCCCCTCCTCCTTTCTGCGACCCCTCTGGATCAGTCTTTTAGGTATTGCTCCTTTCCCATCTTCCTTTCTACTTTGTTCAGAGTCCCCTCTCTATTTTCTCTTGCCTCTTTCTCCTACCACTACCCCTGCCCCTATCTGCTTGGACGATCTCACCTCGGCTACCGGGTGTCGTCTCTGAATCCTTGTCTCGGCTCAGTTAGAGTCATCATACGTCCGTCTCTCAGGAAACTCTTCACGCGACCCATCAATATAAGAGACAGATTTTAGGTCAGTAGCTGCATTCCATTTCTCTCAAACTTCAACTATCCTTTTACCCTTTCTTCGGTGTCGTACTTATTGTTTGTCGTTCCGTATCCAATACTTCCTGTTTCAAATTGCGTACGCAACTTCTTTCATCTCTCTGAGATCACTGAAACAAGAAAAAGCAATCACGCGTTCTGCTACTTTCATTACTCAAAGAGAAGGAGCTCTAGATGAAGCATACGATCATCTTCGGATCGCTGCGTTCTTGAACTCTCCAATAAGGCTTCACCTTGAGATACCCACCCAGTCTTTGGCGGAGACGGTTGCTGTGTGTGTCGCTCTCAACTCCCCGCCCCTCCTCACCACCATCTTCTGCTGCTCCAACCCTGACATTTGTCCTCCATAAAAGACCTTTTATCCTCTATTGCCCCAATTGGAGCTCGAGATCTACCTTCCTTGCTTTCTAACTTCCTACAGACCACTTTCGTCTCTGTCCTTCCACCAGCTCTCCCCGCAACAACCGAGTTCTCTTAACTCCCCCGCTTTAAAGTTGGCCGGAGCTGTACCATCTCCGGCCCTGCAGCCCACAGGATGGCTGATAGCTCTTCTTTCCCGGGTACAAACCCGTTCCTTAAGGTCAGCACAAAAGACGACAAATATTCTCCAATTCAGAAGATATCCGAGGAGGAAGAATATGAGGTGACGTCACCAACCGATCCCACTTTCCGCAGTGCACACTCCGCCGCTACAGCACCCACAGCTGGAAACACATTCTCTGGAGGCAATGGCTCCAGTGACGCGGGTGAAGGAATACAATTCAACAGGCCCTTTGATGGAGGATTGGGTCTGGGGAGCGAAGGTCAAGGCGAGCACCCTGAACCTCCTGGAGGAGCTCGCCCAACTGCAGCCGCCAACCAAGGGTTCCCTAACAACTATGCACTGGGCCGTCGTACCTCTGTATCTGCTGAGTCCCTGAATCCTACCTCGGCTGGCTCAGATAGCTGGACGCCCCCATGCCATCCGAAGACCGAAGAACAGCTTTCGCGATTGAAAACGGCTGTGAGCAACAACTTCTTGTTTTCTCACCTGGACGATGACCAATTCAAGACTGTACTTGACGCTTTGGTCGAAAAACCCATTCCTGCAAAAGATATCAAGGTGATTTCCCAGGGGGATGCAGGTGATTACTTCTACATCGTGGAGGATGGCCATTTCGATGTCTATATCAACCCCGCAGGCTCAGTCCAACCAGGCCCCGATGGTATGGGCAACAAGGTCAGCACCATCGGTCCTGGGGGCTCCTTTGGTGAACTAGCCTTGATGTACAACGCACCCCGAGCGGCGACTGTTGTCTCGGCTGACCCTAAGAGCACGCTTTGGGCTTTGGACCGCATCACTTTCCGCCGGATTCTCATGGACTCTGCCTTCCAGCGACGCCGCATGTATGAAGCTTTCCTGGAAGAGGTGCCATTGCTTTCTTCTCTCAAGCCCTATGAGCGCGCCAAGATTGCCGATGCGCTCGATGCGATTAAATACCCGGCTGGCTCTACGATCATTGAGGAGGGCGCTCCAGGCGATGCTTTCTATCTGCTTGAGTCTGGGGAGGCGGAAGCTTTCAAGAAGGATGTGGAGGGCACCGTCAAGTCGTATAAGAGAGGCGACTTTTTCGGAGAGCTCGCCTTGCTAGACGACAAACCTCGTGCCGCTAGCGTAGTCGCCAAGACCGACGTCAAGGTTGCACGACTTGGTCGCGATGGGTTCAAACGGTTACTGGGGCCTGTGGAGGATATTATGAGAAGGGCCGAATACTCGGCGAAGCCTTCGCCCTCATGATGCGATCCGATAGATTGGATAAAGTGGTTGACGTGGAGACATGCTTGGTTATCATCATTCTTAGTTATTCTTGTACCTCGTTTATCGTTCTTTCGTGGGCTCAACGGACAAGGTAAAGGCAGGCTTGGTCTTGGGAATATGAAGCGATGAACATGAGAAGCTCTCCGATGGATCATTTGGGTTTCACTGTCTTGTTACCGACATAGTAGATTACCTTTCAAGTGTTTGGATCACACCGAGGACGAAGTTTTATAACGTTTCATTGGTGCGACCCTGATGCTCGTGTGAGCCAAACCTGGGTTTGGCCTCATCTCTTTCCAGCATCCATCATTCTGTTCTCCCTTGCGGGGTTAAAAAAATTCAACACGTCCCTGTTTCCATTACATCTCAGTGGTTGCTATTCGAGACTGTCTCTTTGGAGTTGTCTGATGAACATTGTGACTCTATAGTTTCCTTGTGCAAATATAAACTGAATGCTGTTGACGAGCCAGTCCTAATCGGCTTGGTTTCTGAACGAATGTTTGGCATGCATATACCGCTTGTTGGATGACCAGACCGGCTTTAGAGAAGTCCAGTCTCACGCCAATAAATAACTCTACAAGCACAGCAGCTTCTGGCACTTAGGATCCCGTCAACAACAGGTAAGATGTAGACAAAAGTCAACTCACATCCATCACCGCCCAACCACCAAATCACTTCGCAAAACCCACTTCTCGCCCTCGGTGACCTCCCTCCCCTCATGCAAAAGACACCTCTCCCCATGTCGATGCAGCAGCGCCATTCCCACCTCCGGCGCCACAGCAATAGGCTCCGGGTTGCGATTCGCGCGGGTCGGCTCAGGGTAGAAGACTGTCTCCCCTCCCGTACAGCTCGTCAAGTAGACCAGGAGGGTCCAGGTCGTGCGGGCTTGCTGCGGCTTATGTTGAGGGGACTCGAACGTAACCACATTCGAGTCATCGTCTGGCTGTTCATCAGCTCATCTTTTCCCCCATCACGGATCTATTGGAAGAAAAACATACAATGCTGCGCGAAGAACTGGCCCCTCGAATACCGATATATCCTGATATTCGCATTCAGACCAAGCGGCTCCCCGCCCCAGATTTCCCTGTTTGAGCGCGGGAGCCCGTCGCCATCCTGGTCCTCGTTAACTGCACTGCTCACCAGCTCCCTCAGCGCGGTCCCGCTCCACAGCCTCTCTGCGAAGTCGGCATCCTGCACTTGGAATCGGTCATTGACGCGGACGGCCTCGCCCTTTTTGGGTTTGCCGGGGGTGGTGGTGAGTGGGAGCGAGGCTAGGAAGGAGACGTAGGTTTTGCAGAGAGAGGAGGGGAGGAAGTTACGGATCAGGTAGATTTGGTCGTGGAGGAGAGATTCTAGGGAAAGGTCCGATGGAGGGATGAGGGGGCGCAGGGGAGGCCAGTTGGGTTTTGGCTGATCCGGGGGTTGGGATTTGGGCTTGGGGGGTTCCTTTTTGGATTTGGGAGGCATTGTTCCCCTTTTCGTCTGGTTGTTTGTACCTAGGTTTGTGGTAGTCTTAATGCTGTTTTAGGGTGTATTGTGATGATTAGATTAGACTCCTCAGATGGAAGCTGATGGAGTATAGTTCTTGGCATAGACATACACTCGGTATGCAACGCGTGGAATCTTTCGATTTGAAATTGTAGAGCTCGGGTTTTGTAGTAAGTTTCCGGGAGTATATACAGGTGCAGAAATTGTCATCTTTTATGCTGTGGCGATGTGGAAATAGGTGAAGGAGTAGAAGTAGTAGTTTCAAGGACGAACGACGATCTCTATCAGGAGTTTATGGTCCTCAGTCCTCTACATTGAAGAGCCTTTTCTCGATCGATAACTTTCCTATTCCTCTGTAACAACCATTATGGAAATTTCCGTCGCATATCAATTCCACGACATAGCGATGGATCTATCTGAGTACGGAGTACCCATTTCATCATTCTACTGTAGGTACCAAGGATAGAGCACAACTCTAGAGCACAACTCTAGAGCACAACTCTAGAGCACAACTTGGCCATGCAAATATAGTCAGAAAATCTAAACCTCAGAGCACGTAGTTTACTGTTAGGACCATGGAATCAGAGGTGGGAATTAGGATAGGATTGAGTCTTCTCAATAATCTCAACGAATTAGCAGTGGATCATCGTGAAGAAGTGGATTCCTCAGGCGCAAGAAACATGGGCGGGCGGGCCTCGAGAAAGAAATTTCATACTCTACAGAGTCCAGAGTATGAGCGTCACAGTCAAAGAAGTTTTCGTCCTTATGCCAACTTCTTCTGTGCCAATCTTCAGGACTGATCTGAGATCAACATAAAATATTTGTAGGCACAAACTCAAAAGTAATTGAGTGATATGCTCCTTTGTTAGCGGTGATACCTGAGCATGTGTTACTGGGGATTACGGTGAACGACAGTGGCCAGCACCGCGAGAACCCGGCAGAAAAAACCAGCAGAAAACTTCGTGTCCTTCCAATCAGCATCGGTCTCTGTCCATTCTTCCCCAGCTCAACTTCCGTTCTGAATGGCTTCTTCTTCTCACCGCCCTGTTTCTCCTCTCCCTGCCTGTCCGTCTCCTTCTAGACAGCATCGAGCATCCAAAGTACCCAGCAGCCTGTCATGTCGTCGCAGACCATGACAGCGCCAGCGGTGGGCCATCGACCTCCTGATGCAGGTCCAGATATGTCGTCCCTGTTCGACTATGGCCGCCCTCACCATCATCATCACCACCAAGAGGGCCAAGAGCAGCAGCAGGAGGAACATCAGAACCACCAGCAACAGCGAGACAACGGCCCTTTCTCCCCGCGCAGCGACTCCGCAAACCGCGCTCAGCACGATTCTACCTTTAACAATCCTGTCTCTCCTCCCAACGGTTTACCCTCTGTCTCGGGTATGAATGGTATCAAGTCCGAGCCCAGTGATGCAGGAAACGATTTCGCCGGCACAGAGTCAGGTTATCAGAACGATCTCCGCCGTCAGTCCGCCGCCAGCGCCCTTCTGGCTCAACTCCTCGGCAACCAATCTTCTGCGCCTCCCGCCGGCGCCGAAACACAACCTGCAGAATCCTCAACCTCGACTAATAACCCTCCCAATCCGACCGAAAGCTCTCAAAATAATTCCTCAGATCAAATTGCGGGTGGCCAAGGAAAAACAAGCGTCTATACAGAGATCTCTGCGCCCGCAGAGTCGGCCGCCGGCCAAGACCAATTTTCCGCATCAACTGACTTACCACGCTTGCCCCGGGATGGAGAGAAAAATCGCGAAGATAAACCCGCTGATATGTCGTTTCCGAAATCCGAGGAATCTGGGAATCATGGAGTTGATGCAGTAATCAAGACGCCGGATCCTGCAGAAGGTTTGACGGATCCTATGATGTTCTCCAAGGGGGGCCTGAACGACTCTGACCTTTTCACACCTTTCGATCTCGCATCTGCCGGGAAGAACCCTTTCGACAATGAGATGCTTACCTCGGCCTATCTGTCCCAGTCTGCTGACCTCTCAACATTGGGGTATTCGGCAGGTCATTTGCAGGATGGTACAGGCTCGCTCGGCGGATCGGAACCGCGCATCCAGGCTTTTGCCAAATTAGAATTCGACGACGGACATTTTTACTGCAATACTTATTCGTTCATTCTGGGCCGAGACGTACGAGCAGCTCGGGCGGCGCATCAGCGGGAGTTTCAGGCCAGGCAGGCGATCAGGACATCAAGGCCGAAAAGTTCGAGTGGTGGCAATGCATCGCACACGCCGGTTCGTGTAAAACATGAGGGCAGTGGCATGATAGGAAGTGTTGTGAGCGACCGAGGTGGTATCATGGGACTTGACCCTGACATTCCTGCTCATCTTCCTAAACGTCTCAGTCGGAGGTCGTCACACTCGTCCGAAGCGGGCGCTCCACTACATGCGACCCCGGCTCAACTCCAATCCACTACTGACTACAATGCGCTTGCGATGCAATCGCTGCACGAAACCAACGGAGATGCAAAGCCTGTAGATGCACTCGCTCTCCTACCTTCGCCCGATGCTTGCCCGACTATCCCCATTCACCCTCCTACTACTCTTGACGGTAGTGCCGCTGGACACCGAGGCATTTCACGTAAACATGTCAAGATTGCCTTCAACTTTGATAAGAACCTGTTCGAAATGGAAGTGATGGGCAGAAATGGTGCTTTTATCGGTGCTGACTGGCTATCGCCGGGTCAAGTCCGTCCTTTGCATAGTGGTGATTACATACAAATCGGCGGAGTGCGCATACGATTTTTGCTGCCAGATGTACCGATTGGCGAGACTGGAGCCGACAGAGTTGAGGAACCATCGATAGAAGAGGACGGGAATGCCAAGGCATCTGTCGGCGCCGAGAATGACGCAGAAGGAGCTGCGGAAAAGAGTGCCAGCGAAGGAGCTGAAAACAAGGACCCATCCAAGCCGACCAAGCTCATTCTAAAGACCAAAGAATCAGACCCTTCACGACCGGTGCCTTCTATCGAAGGTACCGGAGACGGCGTTCAGCTCCCTGCTCGTCGAAGGGGTCCTGGGCGACCTCCCAAAGACGGCATCATGTCCAAGCGCGAACGTGCAGAGTTGGCAAGGGAGCAGAAACTGGCTGCGAAGCGGGAAGCGAACGGAGGCGTCACTCCTCCTCCGCTGAATCGACCCAAAGCCGGTAAGACGACAACCACAGCCACACCAACGGTGGGCACTGCAGCCGCTACACCGAGCCTTCCTGGCGAGGGCGAGTCTCCCGGGTCGAAGCCGGAAAAGCGCAAGTACACCAAACGGAAGAAGCCGGACGGAACGCTCATGGACTATCCCCTGCCTTCTACTGAGGGTGGCCCATTTCCTCTGGAACAACGCCCGGAAGAGTTCATCAAGGCTCCTCCGGTCAAGAAGCGCAAACCTTCACGGTCACCCTCTCCCAACTACCCTCCCGAATCCGCCTACACACCAGAGGATCTGGCAAAGCCACCGTACAATTACGCTGTGCTGATCTTCGACGCCCTCACGGAAGCAGGTACGCCGATGACCTTGAAGCAGATCTATCGTGCTCTGAAGTTGAAATACCCCTATTTCCGTTTCAAGTGCGAGACCGAGGGTTGGACCTCCAGTGTACGGCACAACTTGAACGGCAACAGCCACTTGTTCATGCACGCCGAACGAGATGGCAAAGGATGGTCGTGGCAGCTTCGACCGGGGGCATCCGTCGAAAAGGAAAAGAAGAGACGTCCGTCTCCTCCACCGCCATCACAGCCTCCATCCGTACCGGCTTCCGCCCCTCAATACATGCCACCGTTGAACCCATCCTATGGAAATCCACAGAATGGGCAAACGAATCTGGCGAATCAGCATTTCCAGTTCCCGACGATGCCTCCGAATACCTATGCTCCTCCCACACCAGCTCCTGCCTCTTCTGCTACAGCACCTGCCACCCCTGCTCCTCGTCATCAAGATCCATATCCTCCTCCTCACCCTCCGCCGCAGGCGGTCCCAGCCTCGGCCCCTTTCCCAATACCCAGTCCATTACGGAACAATCTTCCGCCCGCCTTTGCTCAGACTACGCCTTCTACATATACTTCACCCTATGCATCCGATCCCCCACCGCAGCTGGCTCAGTTTCAGCAACCTCAGCAACCGCAGCAACCACCAGGGATGCACTCGCAATCGCAACATCACTCACCGTACCCTCCACACAATGCTACTGCACCGCCACCGCCGCAACAACAGCAGCATATGCCACCTCCGCATCCGAGCAACCCTCAGCAGCCACAGCAGTATCTCGCACCGAACCAGGGACCACCGATGCAGCCTCCACAGCAGCATCAGCAACCCAACTACAATGTGGCGCCCATGAACGCGGCTCCCACGCCTATGGGGGTTCCCGAATCTGTGTCGTTTGAGGAGCGTGCAAGCAAAGCCATTGATGACTTTGAGGCTGTTCTCCTGGAAGACTATGAGGACAAGAATCACATCAAGGAAGTGCTCAAGAGCGCACGGGCTCGTGCTCTGGGCCACGCGACAGAAAGCTCATTCCCTGGCGGGGAGCCCAAGGACGAGGCTGTCATTCTGGACGCGCTTCGCACCTTGATTGGAGGCTTGAGAGACCAGTAAATGTGTGTTTGCGGCAGCGAGCCTGGCGTCGTTTCTGTCGGCTATGACTGCCGCCTTGATTGAACGATTTCACGAAACGAGATTTTATGTTTATGACTGTTCTGGAGAACAACATTTGATACTCTTCGTACTCGGAAAGGTGTTGATGGAAGATATGTGATTGGAACGAAGATCAGCGCCAGAGTCTACTCATCTATTGAGTGCTCCTGCTGGAGTTAAGAGGGTATTGCTACTCTCTGATATCTTTTGCCCTTCACCTGGATTGGTTTTTCTCTCATTTCTTTCCCCCCGTTTATTCTCTTATCTGAAGTTTCCTTCAGTCGATGATATCCACTCTGTTATGAGCGTCAAATGCTCTTCTTTTCTTCTTATTCGATTTTCTATGGTTGTGATACTGCAATACCTACGAGCTAGAACGCTGTGGGTAGACCTCATCGTTCCAGGGCTGGAAAAGCTAGGAGTTTGTTTTTGAGTGATCCGGTAAATAGACGAATCTGACGATATCTCTGAGCTGAGTTTGAGGGATATATTTTTAAGTTACGAACATGTCGGGTCCTGTTGTCCGTAGACTGCTCGTACAGTGTACCTGACCCCGTTCCCCACATGAGTCGCTCCGGATATTCCCTACAGCGGGGTAGCAGAAAAAGTAAGACGACACAGATGATCGTAGAAACTATGGGAGGACCGAAACTAACCGTGGCAAGTCACAAGTCGATTATCTACATGGTGGCAATGGCAACTGGCTGGAGAAATCTCCGAGGGTACTGAGATTGAGGGCAGGGCAGGTAATCAACGTATGGTTTCCTGCAGCATACGTCCGCCCTAGATTAACGAGCCGAACTCGCCATTCATTAGGATGGATTGGAGCACGAGTGTCTGTCAATGCTGGTAAAACTAGGCAAGTATTCAGGAACCAAGTAAGATACCTTGTCGGGGCGTGGGCGTTCGTCACATCCCACTTTGGCACTGGAAATTCAAACTTTTCCATATCGGTCGTGCCATGCAGTAGATCGATAGACCAGGAGTTGGATTTGCCGCTTAGGCGCTGGGAGTCATCTCACAGCCCACAGCACAGTCTGCCTCTATTAGATATTATTGTTATTCGGGCAGAAATGAAAGCCTGACGATGACGATTGTTTACCCCTCTTTGATACAGAGTACTACTTGGGGATAAAGAGATGAGTATGTGCGTGATTTTTGAGCATCATTGTCCCTCATAGAGGAGGATTGTTTTGGAGAGAACACAGAGGGGGAGTTCATCATCTCCACTGTCCGAGTGAACCTCACAAATCCTTCAACAATTGATGGTTGATTGGTTGGTTGTGTTTTTATACCTTTTCGTCTTTCTCTGCAGATTCAGAATGCGTGGCTATATGCCTGACGCTGCTACATATTTCAGCAGATGAGGCACTTCCATCGAGTGTTTCCGTAAGATCGGCAGGATGAAAATCTCAGAAATCCAGATATCCTTTGGCGCAGGATACTTTGCATCTGATCGTTGATATTATTTTGACAAACTTACCGACTCCACGTCCTTCCAAAATCCATCTATCCGGTCCAACCAGTATCAAGCATAGCCCAGGTAGTAATAGGCAGAAGTCGACGCAACATCTCCTTTGGGTCATTTCTAGGCACCTTCAGGAAGGCATTAACTATTATGATGTGAGGATGAGTCAGATGAAGGAATCCTTAGATTCAATCACTCGTTGGCTGGTCACGTACAAGCCTCTGGGTTTCTGCGTTGGTTATACGGCATATGCTTAGGCTTCCGGAGGCTACGCAGAAAGGTACAATGTAAGTACCAACTGTCTAGTATGTAAGTAGCCTGGGTGCGCAGGCACTCGACAAGATTGGAGATTCGGAAGAGCGGCTAGTGCTGCCTGGTTACTCCGCTGACGATGCACATTGAGTTTGTTGGCTGAGGAACGGAAGTGGAATGCAACGACTATTCCTTTCTATCGACATCGGCAGCAGATGAGGAGATCCAAAGTCCTATATTGATCATAGTATAGTATACGACAGGATATGGTCTTCCTGGGTTCTGTAGCCTGATATTTGGGTGGAAGCAGAGGTGCCATGCCTGATTCATGTTGAGGCTGATCACAGGACTGTAAGGGTACTTTCACTGTTGCCACCTTGGTGCAATGGTGTCATACCTAAGACAACGTTGGGTGTGTTCTTTCATATTACAGACATCCAGTTTGCTTTTGTCTCGTTATCTTGATTAGAATTTGAAATCAAGGATGATCGTCACCGGTTTCTTCTCTTTCATTCGCTCTGGAAGAATTCCCTGCCTTCTACGGAGTATCGAGAAGCACCATGTTACGAAACTGACTACACTCAATTCTGCACTCGGTCACCGCCGACATATGGTCATCAGCAAATCCCCTTCCAAAATGAGCCTAGTCTTGTAAATGGACTGTACCACTACGACACGTTTTTATTTTAGCACGGGGAATGCGGTGCACAAACCAGTCGATTCTAGGCATTCTGGCCGTTTTTGAGTTCGAGGCGAGTCTTTTATTATTAGCACTAAAGCTCGAGACCAGACGCTACTGGTGACTTTTACCCTGACTATGCACCTCAGAGGAGTACGGCCCTACGGCAAGTGTCTCCATGACTGGTCTGTGTGTGACAACGACTTTGCATCACTGTTCTCACTCCAGTACTACTACTGGCAGCCTGCATCAAGCACCGCCTTCATACCCTGCTGACTGTCATTGCTGGACCTTGGTTTTGAGGATCACAATGATGACGCTGATGATGGTTACCTGCTATCATCGATGGCTAACATTATGACAGGTACTGTTGATATTAGTCATGCTTCTCTTCCTTCAGTTCTGGACAATTTCCGTACCACTACCTTACGTACCAGCAGAAACTTTTGAGGAAATAGGAATCAAACCAGAAACGTCAACGTAACCCAGTAACCTAACCTTGCAAGGGGTTAGGGCAACAAGTGAGCCCACCACCTGGGCCTTTTACCTTAGTTTTAGCACTGGTGTGACCCATCCAGGTGGCTCTTGATTGTCCGTTTTGAGGCTTCTAAGCCCCGAACATCTGCACAACTACACAGGATTAACACAGGAATTCATTTTCATTGATACAAGGATGATCTGGGACATTTCGGCACTCTCATTTCATCGACACTTCCTCGAAATAATATATGTGAAGCAGAATATATTGTTGAACAGTCATTGTACTACTCATAACCATCACTACTGCTCTTTTCCCCTTCAAGCCGCCGATTGAATCTTGACCTCCAAGTCGACTCCCATGGTTTGTGTCACTGCCTCTGGGTGATTTCCTGGTAAACCATCTAGAATTTTTCTGCAGTACGAAGCAGTACGAGTAACACGGTACCTACCGCACGCCAAGGAAAAGGATTTCTGGTTTTGATTACCTCTTACTCTGTACTCCGTACTTGACCTCACTTTGATCATGCAGAGATTCAATAGGACGATCGGATGTTACCTTTCTGAGTTATCTCTTACGAGCACCTTTTTAATTGATCTAAACTGTGCTCTGTGTAACTGAAGTTGAGAGGAAACTCTGAAGCAAATGGAAGGACCCCTTTTTCACGGCACTGTAATACTGTCAGTACCTTAGTACTTCGTAGTAGTCCTTTTTTCTCCCGCCCTCCCAGCAGCCAGAACATCCTTTTCATTTGGTCTGGGTGGGAGTGGAGGCCTGCGTATTATTAATAATCTGCATTAAAATTTTTGCCTACCATTTAATTCATGAATTTTTTTATTTTTTTTTTTTTTCTTCTCTTTTCTTTTTTTTTTTTTTTTTCCCCTCCCTTTTTTTGTTACTTTGCACTCGGTTGTCATTCGCCATTACCTGCTGGTCAGATTGTTCCTCCTGACTTTGCTGGCCAACGCCTCCGACCTGCCGGAGTTCGCTATTGCCTTAGGTTAGTAAGGTAGTAGTACTGTAATTATATGACCAGAAATACACACTCAAACCTGCTCCAGCCCGAAGTCCTCTGTCACTACCTTTTAAGAGTCATAGAATCAGAGACTGGATAAAGAGAGGAATGGGATACTGGGAAATGAGAAGAAAATGGCTTGATGGACCCCAGTCAGACAAATCCTAACACCAAACAAAATCAAAATCAGACCTGCGCAGAAGAAATTAAATCAGACAGAAACGTAGAGAGAATCATCATGCATGTTCCATATGATAGTCATGATCCATCCTTCTGTTTGGACTATGGAGTACTGTCGCTGTTGATAATTATTCATTATTAACTTCAAAATGAAAAAAAGAGAGGAAAAGGGAAAAAAAGGATAATAAAATAAAATAGTTACAATGACTATCATCTCAACATCAAACTGCTCAACCTGACTCCGCTAGGCCTTCTCGACTAAACTCCATCCACCCATCCATCCAGCCACTACGCTCTCTCTCTACCACTCTACGCCTACACACCATTACCCGTACCCTTACTATTACTACTACTACTGGCCTTTGCCCCATCCTTTCTCTCCCTCTGCCTTTCTCTCTCTCCATCCCCTTCCTTCTTCGCCTCTCCATCCTCCGTCCTCTCAACTCTCTGTTCTTGTTCATTTCTCGCCTGTCAAATTCCCTGTCTCATAACTCTCACCTCCTCTTGTCAATTTCTCTCAACGAGCTTTTCACTAAGTGTCGTTGCCGTCGTGGTCCGGGGCATTTCACTTTGGCGCGAGGGAAAGAAAATTAATTTTTCTCTTCCGATCCCCTACAATTCCCCCCGTCGTTCTTCCCCCCCAGCCTCTCCTGGCTCCACGAACCCTCTCTCCCTTACTCTTGTCTCCATCTCCTATTTACGGTCCTTGAGGCACGTTCCACGTCGTTGGGTGTCCATCCACTGTTTATCCTTCAAATCCAAAAAAAAGCACCGTGCTTGTTGGGTGTCTCGTGTTGCACCAACAACTCTCTAATTGGAAAGCAACACCGCGAGGGAACAACACAATTCTCGCCGCGTGAAAGAATCCGACATTCAAGGAAGCCAAACA